GTAAAGTATCACAGCAACAAGAGCATGGAGACATGTTAGATCACCAATTCTGTCATCTCCTGAGATAGGATTACAGCCCTTCTGCAGAGGATGCTACTGATTTGAATTTACTGTTTCCCTTTGAATGTAGCCACTCTTCACTAGCCCTTCCAGGCAGCCCCACATCTGTCTGAGCTCCGTGGATGAGCTTTGGTGAGCTCCACAGATGACAGGGAACCATTGAAGCAACAATTCCTGCATAGTCCTGCTAGGATTTTAATACATTCTATATGCAGTGCATCCCCCCTTTATAATGGTTATAATGTTCAAATCAATCCTACCTGGCAGCAGAAGTTTAACATTAATGACTTTCTTATTATGGATGGCAAAACCTTTCAGAGCTAATGAGCAGAAACAAGATCACTTGGCTACTAGTGAGGGGATGGCTCTGGCATCATGGCCAACACTTGGAGCAGAGCTGTGCAGTGTTTGCTTTGGTACAGCCCAAAGAGTTGGTCTGGCAGGTTACACTGCCTCTGCCTTTGGAGCTGAGATCTGAGTTCAGAAAATGCTTTAAGGATCTTAGCTGCTTAAAATAAGGATATCAGGTAAAGGTTCCTCACCCAGCGGGCGGTCTCACACAGGAACAGACTCCCCAGGAAACGGTCACAGCACCAAGCCTGAAAGAGCTTGTCCAAATTCCCTTAGAACAACACCCTCAGGCACATGTTGGGATTTCTGAGGTTGTCCTGTGCAGGGCCAGGATCTGGACTTGATGATCTGTGTGGGTCCTTTCCAATCCAGGGCATTCTCTGACTCTATGAGTGCCATCAGCAGGGAGGAGGCAGCTACCCCATCACCCAGACCTCAACCCAGATGCACCAACCCTCCCTGCAACAGGAGCTGAGACTGGTCCCAGGTGAGGCTGTGCTGTCCCCAGCCAGGGACAGCTGCTGAGGTGTGAAGTGGGAGGGTTCTGTTTAATTTTATCTTGACAGCCAGGAGAAATCAGGACCCGACTAGTTACATATTTAATTTCCAAGCTGGTCCCGCAGGGCAGGAGGAGCGGATGAGCCAGGGAGGGTGAGCTCCTGCCCCCAGCGTGCCAGGCATCCTGCAGTGCCCTGGGGTGGTGGCATCTGCCCTGGCATACCTCAGGGAGCAGCAGCTGCAAGCCTGGCTGCTGGAGGAAAAATAAACAACTCCAGTGAGTCACAAAGGCAAGCTGCATATGACGGGGACAGGTACTTATGCAAATAAACTGTTAACACCCAGCCAGACAGAGCTGATAAGCCTCCTAGGCCAGCTGGAGGCTTCTTCAGCCTACTAGGGGGAGGAGGAGGAAAACAGCTCTAGGACAACAATAGAAAACTGAAAAGCAAGAGCAAGGCAGCTCTGGAAAGGTTGGGCAGGGATGCCTGGTTTGGGTGACAGTCTGCTGCACCCTGCCATGCCAGTGTGTCCCTGGGCTGCTCTGCTTCCAGAAGCATCCTGCTGTGCCAGCGTGGGCTACTGTGTGCCATGGGACCCACTGCTGAGATCTCCTGGGGTGCTGGGTGCCTGCCAGGACACATTTCTCCACACACCCATGGCAGCAAGGTACTTCATCCTGCAGCAAGGTTTGAGATTTGTGAGGCTGGGGCACAGGGGGTGCACGGAGAGCTGCCTTCCCCACATTTGGAATACCCCTATAACTCTTCCCCCTGCCCTCTCAGCTGGCCAATGCCCTCAAAACCATGAACAAGAGGCAAACTATCCTTCTGCAGCACTGATGGGGATACCCCAGGATCCCCATATCTGGCCTGGCTGGGCTGCTGATAATCAGATAGAGTGGTTTAAAATAATCAAGCCTAAGCAGCTGAAAACCAAACTGGAATAGGTAATGGGGTCAGAAAACAAACACTGCAGAGTCGGGGGCTGTGCAGGGCACCCCTCACGCACTCAGGGTGGGTTGAGCTGGGAGCTGGGCTGCTTCCTCAGGATGCTGCCCAAAACCCAGTCTCCCAAGCCCTGTAGTTGGGAGCACTTTTCTGGTAGTGGGAAAGCTGTGCAAAAGACCCCAAATGTTTCATAGGGGATCCTGAGAGCCAGGTGGCACCTTCTCCCCCAACTGCAGCCACCACCTAAAGCCTGAGTAAAAGAAGAAAGGATTTTGCTGCCCCAGAGCTCCTTTAGTTCCAGCCCCAGCAGTGCCAGCAGCTCAAGAGATGCAGGACAGCTCCCTGCTCCTGTAGCATCATCACTCATTCCTCGTTCACTGGTCCCCATCCCACGCTGGCTCTGCCAGCACCTCAACCTGCCTTGCCTGTGGGCAGGGGAGAGGGGACTGAAGCTCCAAGGAAAGGGGGAATTATTAAGTTTAGGGAATTTGTTTTGCCCGCTGCTCAGATTTCCAGCTCGTTTTAATGACGTAATGCTCCAATGGTGAGAAGCCAAAGTTTGCCCTTCCTGTGGTATTCCCTTAGGAAAAGCATATTACTGCAATGTAAAACTGAAAATTGAAACAGGCTGGTGCTTCACCAGAGAAAATGCCTCTCCCTTTTCCCTATTCAGTGAGGCGGGGATGAATGTTGTGAGGTTTGAAAGAAAAACTGGAAAAGCCTTTAATTAATCCCTGGAGGCTAAACCCTGCCAGATATGGGCAGGATTTCTCCTCTGCCTCCTTTTCAGAGCAAGAACATGAAGCTGCCTTCCTGCTGCAGCTCTTTCCGGGGGATTCTCAGGTCCAAGAGGAGGATCCAAAGCATTTTACAGAGCTTTTTTTATGGAGAGAATGGCTGCCAGGGAATCCTCATTGCTGTCCCAGGACAGGGAGGAGACAAGGAACCCCTGCTCAGACTTTTGGAAGCTTTTACCTGCTGGGAGGAAACTTTTTGAGTTCAAGGTCAGGTCTGTTTGTCTTCCCTACTGACAGACGTAAACTGTTATGCAATATTCAGGAAGTCACTTTTATCAGACTCAATTCAATTTCTAAGATTAAGAGCATGGAAAAACAAATACTAGTGCTGGATGGAAAGTGCTGGCACTAACCAGTCCAACACTGTTTGGACAAGGATTGCTAATAGGGTATCTCTCATTTCCACAAGTCAGTAGGAGCAGGTCACAAAATGTGCTGCTTTTTATAGGGGGCTGATGAGGAGGAAAATTAACCCTTGCTTAGAGGGCAGAAACCATAGCAAAGTTTTTTGGAGAACAGCTTCTGTGTTTGCTACTGCAGCATCTGGGAGCATCCCAGGATATAAATTCAAGGCTCAGCCCTTGGCAGAGGCAGAGGACTGCACTGTTAGTAGGACACCTTTGCCCTGGTGCATGGCAGGGGCGTGGCTGCAGGACAGGTAAAAGCTTTGCTCACAAGAAACCTGACTTGCAAGGGAACAGGCAAAATGAAGAGCATGTGCAGTTTTCACAGGGATCATCACTTGGCACAGCACAACGGCCTCATTCAGAAAATGCACTGGGAGAAGGCACTGGAGAAAAGAAATCTCGACTTGCAGAGGGAAAACTGTACTAACTAAAACCCAAGCTGCTCCTATGATCCAGAAGTCCTGAAGTCCTTAAAGAAAAGCACTAGGAACTGAAATGGAGATGGATGGATCATTTGATCTTTGGAGGTCCATGCCAGGGATCACACCAGCCCCAGCCCAGAAGACATTCCTGCTTTCATGACACTTTTTCCAACCAAGGCCCCTGTAAAGTTTCAGTGATAACCACTATTAATCTATTGAGATTACTTCAGTGCTTTCTGTTGGTACAGGGAAAAAAAAAATAATTGAAATTTAGCTTCCAGCACTGTGAGCTCCCTTAATTCAGTACCTTGTATATAGATATTATACTCAGAGAAAGTTAAAATGTAGAAATAATGAGCCCTGGAGTTTGATAAAAGCTAAGGGAGAACCTGAGGTTTGAAATAAAACCATTAGCAATAGCAGATTTGCAAGTTCAGCTGTGGGAAGGACCACAAAATCCAAGCACATGCTATCTATCTTCTTTTTATTGACTGCTTTGTGGGAAGCTGCATTTCTTGTTGGAGTTGGGAGCTACAGCTTGCACTCTGTGTTGATTTTGATTATAGAGTGGTGGTAATTAAACCTCTGGAGCATTAAGTTACCATTTTAACCAAATGCCTGCATTCTATCTTGATGGGAAATCGTGAGTGAGACTCAGATTTTCACAGTAAATAAAAACTGTTGGCTGTTTCGCAGATAATCCTTTTCCTCAGCTTATAAATCTGTATGTACAGTTTCTTCCAGCCTTTTGCAAAGGCACACACTCCTTGAATAACCTCAGAAGCAGCCCTGCCAGCTTCTGAACACTGTTCAGCTTGTAAAATAATAATTATAATCATAATGTGCCTCCTTAGTGACACTTTTAATCCAGAGACCAGTATCCTTATCTCTGTGTAAGCAAACAGAAGCATGCAGAATTTTGCTCCAGTGATATAAGTGGCCAAGGTCAAAGTCAGCACCCAGGTTCTGTCTATCAGAAATATCCACTGCCTGTCTCTGAGGTAACGCTCTTATCTGCAGACAGATAGGCAAGGTGCAAATCTGGTTAATTCTTCGACAGTTCTGTGCTGACAGGCACAGGTCTGCCTCACTGCACACCTGTAGCTTAGGAATTGGGCAAATACAGCCATTTCAGGTTGTTACTGTCACCCTGTACCGTCCTGTGCCTGCCTGAACAAGTGACTGAAACAGGTGAATGCCTTAAACCCGCTGTTTTATTGCAATTAGCAGCGATATTGCTGAAGTCAGACTGAAGGCTGTGAGGCTGCAGTGTGTGCTGGCTGCCTTCTGTGCAGGCAGGGGCATTAAGTGCTCTGGAGATCAGCGATTCTGATAATAAACAGTTGCTTGTGCAGAGGATTGGGCTCAGCCCTTTCAAAGGAAGCCGTTGCCACAGAGTCTTTCATCCTCTGCTTTCAGAGTGAAGTGCATCCTCCCTGCCCAGAGCAGCAGCAGGTTTACCACAAAGTGTGTGCAGGATTTGCTGTCTGCAGAGGCAGGTATTACTCACCCAGTGGCTCCCTATGCAAATGTGCTGCCCTCACTGGGATAGCAGAGCCAGGAGCTGGAATTCAGGCTGCTGGAGATGCCCATCTGTGCTGCCAAGAGGCCAAGGACAGCCACAGGGCTCCTTTGGGGCCGTGTTTCTCAGCAGACAGTGCTTCTGCAGATCTGTGTGTTCACTGGTCAAACTGGAGCCTTGGGAGCTGCATCTTTTGGTGGGGACCAGAGTCTGAGACTGCATCACTTCACCTTCCTCTTCACTCCCACTTCGGCCATCTGTTGAGAGGAAATGTCTGTCAAAGAAGGTGGGGGAAGGTACAGAGACCCCTGCAAACCTCAGGAGAGCTCCTGGCTGCACAGCTGCCTCGGGGAGAGCTCTCAGGGGGAGATGCCTCAAGCACACAGAGCTGCTCCATCCTCAGCAAGGCCACATGAGCTCAGGTGTGATCCATGGCACCTGGCAGAGACCAGGAGCACTGCTCCTCCTCATCCCACCCCATCTGCACGAGCAACTTGGGATCTCCTTGTGCAAACCCAGCCAACCCCGAGCCAAGGTTGTGATGAAGGTTTCTCCAGATAGAAATGCTTGTTGCTGGTGTGGGTGGGAACTCAGACAGAGTAAGGCGGCTTCCAATTTCATGAGAATCACAAATAAGTCACTTATTTTGGAGAAACCTTGAAAGAGTACAAATTATTATATTATTTGTATCTAATAAAGGTAATTAAAACTGAAATTGCTACTGATGCTACTGGATTCAGGATTTCACACTTTCTTCCCACTGTACCATACTGAAATATGATGCCCTCCAAATAAAACTGATAAATCCCCCAACCCATTTCCAACTGTTCTACATCCTGGTTTTATACACCAACACAAACAAACAAAAAAAACCCCCAAAACCAAACAAAAACCCCAAACAAACAAACCCCAAAATCCCCAAAAAGCAAAAAAAACCCCAAACCCCATTTTTTTCCCAAACCAAGCGAACTAAGGAAGGAAAATAGATCTACTTAACATTTCTAGATGTAAATATTTAAGGTAAGAGAAAGAAAAAGCTGATTATTTTCTCCATTTGACAGGACAAATATAAAAGTGTCTTCTTTGAAAAATTCATCTAAGCATTATTCTGTATTTTTACATTAAGGGAAATGTTGCCTGTTTGCATCTTTTCCCAGAAATAGTAAACTGCTCTGGTGGTTTGGAAAAACAGAAGTAAGAATCTATTTTTCAATTATTTTTCTTTTTTTCCACAGACCTCTGCCATTTTTTATTTGAGTGATGGCCAGAGTTATAAAGGATAAGCCACCATAAAACAAAATTTTCTCAGAGTACTTTTCTGCTACAAACTTTTGGAAATATCAAAAGAAACCAAGTTTGTGTGAAGCTGGTGTCCCATGAGGAAGAACCAGGCTGGGTACACCCATAGTCACCAATGTGGGCAAGTTACCAGAATCAGTAATGATATTTTAAAAAATCTATTAATCAAAAAATAAATTGGGGAAATACCCAAATAACTCAAAAAGACTGCAAGAGCTCTACAGAGCAGCCCAGTCAGTGCTTTCTACTCCTCAAACAGTCAGGAATAGGTTGTTTTCTGCCATCCTCCTTCTTTTCTCCATTTCCTTCTCACCCAAGTGATACCAGGCTGAATTTCTTGGAACTAGGTTTCAAATTTGCTCTTTTTATCATGTCTAAAACTTTATTTTTTAAAATAATCTCCTCTAATCCTCCCTCTTCTTACATCAGCTATTACAAACTTCAGTTTTAGCAGCTACCCTCAAGGCCACATCAATTCACTCCACAACCACACCAGTCCTTTAGTTGCATAATTTACGAGCTTCTTGCCTTCTGCTCTTTATTCCTGTTACCTTTGCACATCTCCTCTTACCTGGCTGAACCAAAAGCCTACCTACAGGTAGGTATGGCCTGCCCACAACCTTTACCTCACCAGGCTTTAAATCCTGCTCTCAGCTCCTTCCCAAAGCACAGACTCACATTCTGCCCAGCTATCGTTTAAGCCTGGGAAAACCTTCCCGATAAAATCTGAACAGCCACTCCTTTCTCCTCCTTCAAAACTATCCTTACAACTCATTTCTGCCAAAAACCCAGCCAAACTTAGCTTCAGCTGTGGCTGGGCAACACGAATCAGGATTTTCTTCCCTCCTTTCCTTGCTCCCTATCTCTGCTCTTTGCTAAGCATTAGCCAAACCAACTTATCCTACCAAAGAAAGGACATTGCCTTATATTTATATTTATATTTATATTTATATTTATATTTATATTTATATTTATATTTATATTTATATTTATATTTATATTTATATTTATATTTATAGTTATAGTTATAGTTATAGTTATAGTTATAGTTATAGTTATAGTTATAGTTATAGTTATAGTTATAGTTATATTTATTTATATTTATATTTATATTTATATTTATATTTATATTTATATTTATATTTATTTCTATTTCTATTTCTATTTCTATTTCTATTTCTATTTCTATTTATATTTATATTTATATTTATATTTATATTTATATTTATATTTATATTTATATTTATATTTATATTTATATTTATACACACACACACATATTTTGTGTGTGTGCATGTGCTGTAAATGCCCCTGGCTCCCAGTGCCTGCAGAACATAAGACACTTGGGGCAGGGTTGCCTTTTCCCTCCACTTTTGCAGAGCATCTCGGAGAGCCATGGCTCAATTCCTGTACATGCTCCCAGAATATAAACATGTACTGATAACTGAGCATTCCCTGGAGGAAAGGTGCATCAGAGCTGGGAGCCACCAGGGACAACTGCAGCTGCCACTGGTGCAGAGCAGAGAGGGAAAGGAGATCAGACTGATCAGATAAGGGCCTGGAGTGTCAGGACCAGGGGGAATGGCTTCAAACTGACAAGAGATTGGTTATTACAAGAAATTCTTCTCTGTGAGGGTAGTGAGGCCCTGGCACAGGCTGCCCAGAGAAGCTGTGGCTGCTCCATCCCTGGAAGTGTTCAAGGCCAGGCTGGATGGGGCTTGGAGCAACCTGGGATTTGAAGGTGTCCCTGCCCATGGCAGGGGGCTGGAACAGGATGGGCTTTAAGGTCCCTTCCAATCCAAACCATTCTATCACGATTCATTGATGATTGATTAATCAATGTTACAGTTAAAACATCCCTTATGTGGTAAAACACTTGAATTAATAAGAATTAAGCACAGAGTAACGAGATAGGAATCTCTCACATATCTTTGCAGTGACTCCAGGACATGATGAATCTGAATAATGCAGCTGATGTGTGAGGACACAACCAAAGTTACTGTGCCAAGGTCTGTCTATACTGCCCAAATGTCCCTTTTCCTGCTGTCATGATGTGCAACAAGCTGCAGGTCCTACAGAGCACAAGGCCAGGAATGTTCCCAGGAAAGCTGAAGCCATGGCCAAGTAAGAGGCTTGGAGTATGTGCCAGAGTGGATGTTGCTGTGATTCCAGGTAAAATACTGTGTATAAAACATTAGAGGTGGGGAGATGAGTGAATCACTTGGCTGGAGTGGATTGGGACCTACAAAAATCCTATTAGGTTGTCTTCAGTGTCCAGGTACCCTCAAAAAAGCTGTTTCTAAATTGTTAATATGAATTGCAGGATTTTTACAAGTACAAACCATGTAGTTTCTGTAGAAACTGCAGTTTCTGTAGTTTCTGTGTTCTTTGTATATTCTTTGACAAGAGTGAAATACAAGAGCAGAGAGCACTGAAACTGGTGGTATCAGGTGTGGAAGGAAGTGACCACCAGCACACTCAGGAGCTCCTGGATTTCCCTGGTCCAGCCCATCACAAAGCTTAAACACAGTTAGAAGCATCCCAGATGCCCTGTACTTAAACCAAACTTTGTTTCCAACAAAAAACTCCCAGAGCTTTCAGCCTTAAGTCCTAAGCCAAACCCATATTACAACAGCTAAAATGTCAGAGCTAATTAAGAAGAGGAAGCCATGCATAAAGCAGCCAAGATGTGCATCTGCCACCAAGGAGAAACCCCATTCCTGCAGCGTGTGCCAGGAGCAGGCATGCACACCAAGTCCTCCCAGCAGAGGCAGGGAGCTGGCTGGCAGCTTGGTCAGCCCTCAATGACATGCTGAAGTGCTGACTTCCCTTGTGGTTTCAAAAAAAAATAATAATAAAAAAAAAGCATTAAACCCATGATTTTAAGTGATGCCAAGGGGTATGTTTAAGGAACAGCCAGTACCAAATTCCAGCATGCCTGCTGGAGCACCATCAGGCTCTGGTGGGGTTGCACAGCAGATAACAGACCATGGTGTTTGGGCAATTAGTTTTAACCATCATTATATAATATTGATGTCATATTGACTACATATCTGTATGCTGGCACAGGGGCTGGAATTACATTGATTTATTAAGTTGATAGCGTGCACCAGTGCCAAGCTACCAGGTCATTGATCAGCTGCCTGGGCTGAACTTCAGCATGTAATTTCCAGCACAATGTGACTGATCAGCAATACCATAATTGGTTGCAAATGTCCTTCCTTCTATTTGTTTTGTTAAGTGGCTTTTTCATTAACACAGCAGAGCCAAGAAAATAAATATGACTTTACTATTGGACTGCAGGCAGAGAATAGCTGAGAAATGGATGCAGACTGGGACAGGACTGTGCAATATTGTCAAACCAGCACTCCTCACTCCTTTTTTCTAGTTACAAATTTTCTATTTTGCTGCATTTAGGGCCCTGATTGCTTCAGAAGAGATGGCCTTTGGCTAGAAGGGACTTGGCCAACACTATGTTCAGTAAAACACAAATTTATTGAATTCATGTCCCCAAATTCCCTAAGTCAATAGGTTTATTATTAGGCAAAGCCATGATGTCTCCACTTGGAATGTAGCCCTCAGATGTTGCTGCTAAGAGAGGGAACCAAGTCCAGTCCCTGGGAATGGGCTCTTTGCTCCTTACAGCAACACCCAGGCATCTGAACCAGCCAAAAAACTCAGGCCTAGGCACTGAGGTGGTACCTCCCTCCTGAACACCAAATCCAAGGCTGGACCAAGCAGTGGATCCCTTCTCCAGAGCCTGATCCCAGCACAGCCCTGCACATCTGCAGGGTCACACGAAATGGGCCTTGATCTTTGAGAGGGCAAAAAGTGCCAGATATGGTCTGGGCCTAAGTGAGTTGCAAAGTTCCTGAAAATATTGACTCAAGCATTAAATCTGTGAGCAAGTTCAATTATTTGAACAAGAGGAAGAGAGAAGTGAGCTGCTGTAGCACCA